TTCAGGGAATGAAGGAAAAAAAAAAGATCCTTGGAACTGAAATCAGAACATACTCATCATGATGCCTGTGGTATTTGCTTTGGTTTTTCCAAGAAAACTTTGGACTTTGATTATTTTCCCTTGGACTTGAGTATCCTTTACTCTGTCCACTAATTATCTGGTATTCACACAACCAACATGATTCATCAAATAGTATAAAGTAGTTTTGGAATGAATTCCACAATACAGTTAATACCCTAATATATTTCTAATATCCCTGAAGAAGATATAATATTAAATAGTGATCAGTATGGGCTAAGGACATTCATAAGTTAACAGATAAATTGGGAAATATTGAACCTCATTAGAAATCCAAGCAATTGTTTTTTTTCTCTCTTTTAAATTAGTGAATTTTAAAATCATTCCACTTGGTGTTGATAAGGGTAGATTGAAGAAAAGGCACTCTCCTTCTTGGCTGGTGAAATCTTAAAAGGAAGAACTTTTTACCAATGTGTATCAAGCACTATTAACATATCCAAGCATTTTTACCCAGTAATTTCAATTTTGAAAACCTGTAACTAACAGCATAACACAATATTTTTAAAATACTATCTAAAAATGAGTTTTACTGAATTATTTGTAGTATAAAAAATGCCCACAGGAGAATGATAAATTAGTACATGTTCAACTTGACAGAATACGATGAGACCTTTAAAAATATGTATATTCTATCCTCATGGGTAAAGACTTACACTAAAATGTCAGATTAAACAGGGTATGGTGGCATACACTTGTAATCCCAGCAGCTCCAGAGGCAGGATGATCACAAGTTTGAGGTCAGCCTCAGCCACTTAGTGAAGCCCTCAACAGCTTAGTGAGATGCTGACTTATCATAAAAAATTAAAAAACACTGGGGATGTAGCTCAGTAGTAAAGTGAAAGTGCATCTGGGTTCAAACCACAGTAATAAAAAAAATTTTTTTTTAAATGAAAGAAGGAAAAAAGTCAGCTTAAACACCATAATGCAATATGACATATAATCATCACATTCTAAGGAAAACAGAAAAAAGACTGAAAGGAAATACACTATCAGTACTGTTGAGAGTAATCATTCTTTGCAAAATTGGTCAGCTGGTCTACCCTGTGAATTTTGAACTTGCTTCCCAACTCAGAACTCAAGGACAAGGAGAGAGGGTGTGGACAGAAGGAGAAAAGTTCAGCGGGAAGACCCATAGTGTGTGTTCCCCTGCCTGGCCCTGGGTGGAGGGACTGCAGGTAGAAACTTAAAGAAGCTGTTTTCACTGTGTAGCTGGGGGCCAGTGTGTGCTGCTCTGCAGCCTATGGAACAGTATGTGATAGAGACTTTCAGCATGGAGGCAGGAGGTCAGAAGTGAGAGCTGTGAGGGAACCAGGAAGTACTTGGTATTTGGCTCAGGAAAGCAGGGTCTAGCAGCAGCAGGAGAGAGGAAGCCCCCAGCCCAGGGTTTTCTCTATAATTGGACCATTAGCAGGGTCTGGAAAGGAGAACACCAGTGACTTCCAGCCACGTGTTCCCAGGACTCCAAGAAAACAGTAGGCAGTGCCTTGGTTTTATCCAGGCTGGGCACAGCACCAGCAGTCCTGGAACTGTTAGGAGGACCCAGGTGTGTGTTTACCCATAGGCTGGTAGCACTGGGGGAAGCTCAAGTGGCAGCAGTGAAGCAGGCATGGTCTTGGACAAACCAAGGAGAAAGGAACACAGGATATTGAATGATTGGAAGATGAACCATCGAATAAACAGGTGGATCCATAACTCCAATCTGGTCCTCCCTGGGAATTTGAGCTTGGGTGGATGATGTTTCAAAACAGGGCAGTTAGAGCTGAGTTCTCCTAAGACAGGTAATAGGACATTGACCATGAGTTCAGGTTACTGAGATCCCTGGTCCTGCCACCTCCAGTCTTGGATTATCTGGTTTTCCTCAATTCTTGAAGGTAATAGATTCTTCATTAGGTTACCTTTTCACAGAAGTTTTCTGGAGCTCATTTCTAGAGATTAAAGCAAAACCTAAAGTATCATAACTGATACAGAAAAGATAATGGAATCAGAGCTGGAAAGTGGATGTTTCAGCTAAGATAGGAACAAAGTGGTGACCACCTTAGCTTGGGATTAAGACGGGGAGGTGGTGGTTTCTCACAAGGTTTTCAGATCTTCCACAATGAAATGCAGTGTCTTGAAATTGGCGGGTCTAGCCAATAATTAAGTGGTAACCCATGAGATAAAGGGTTCATGACTTCCAAATATTCTAAAATCCTTTGTGCATAGAAGACAGAAAGGACTTCAGCTACCTTGAGAATTAAATGTGTGCTGCAGAGACAGGAGTCCTGTGGGAGTGAAGTTGGGACTGAAGGTTAAGTGATGTTCTGCCAATGCCCGGGAGGTTCACTCACGTGGCAGTGGTGGGGATGCTGCCCATCACATGCTCCCCCAAATGGGTGCAGGCTGCTTGGGTTCTAGGAGTGCACTCCAGGCACAGAGCTACCTGGGCTTCTGGATTTAAATAAACCCTAGGAGTCAGTGCTGCCTCACTTGATTGTACCCAGTTTTAGTGTGATTGTCATCTGCTTTGCCTCTGACTCCAGAATTAGTCCTTGGAGACTCATCCAACTCAAGCCAACAAGTGATCCATCTGCTCTTCCTCTGATCAGTGATCTTCAACCTGAGTTTCATAGACTTTCTGCAAGTTTCATAGGCCATACCAATAACTTAATGGGATTTGTTTCCAAATTTTCAGCTTCTATTCATGTTTTTTTCTGACACTGATCTACTCAAGAAAGTACTTCCCCTTTCCTAACTATGCTTCTGTCACTGTACTACAGGAAAACATAGGCCTTGCCCAACCCTGTCTCACTGAAACTCAGGACAGAGAAACCTTTGAGTGCACTAGAGAAACAGTTCACACATGCTGTTGGTGTGATAAAAGCAAGGTGTCTAACAACTGGACACCCAAAATGACTGCTGTTGTGTGATATGCAATTTCTGATTCTTGAGTTTCAAAAAAAAATTGAAGGAGAACCTAAATGACTAAATCATGGACTGTGATTTTTGACATATGACTCAGAGGGTGTTCAAAATTGAAAGATATTATGATTGTAAAAAAGACTTCCATTTCCATCTTAGGAACAAGCTTTTTTAGGGCTTGTTTTTTGTTTGTTTGTTTTGTTCTGTTTTGTTGTTGTTTGGGATTTTGTTTTGTTCTTTTTTGTTTTTGTTTTTGTACCGGGGATTGAAACCAGGCATGCTAGACCACCAAGTCACATCCCAGCCCTTTTTATATTTTATGTTGAGACAGGGTCTTGCTACATTGCTTATGGCCTCGCTAGGTTGCTGCAACTGGCTTTGACTTAAATTCCTCCTGCCTTAGCCTCCCAAGCTGCTGGGGATTATAAGTATGCACCACCCTACCCAGCTAGGGCTTGTATTTTTTAAAAAAGAATAAAACTAGGGCTGAACTCCGTCTCATTAAAGTAATAAATACTATTCATTTGTTCATAAAGCAACTGACTAAAAAGCTAGCTCTTCATAAGATGCACTTTTAATAAAAATATATATTCATATGACTAGTTATCAAAAATTTAATGTATTTATGTGTTTGATCAATTTTGCCTTAATAATAGTCAGAATTTATAATTTAATCCATGATAGATATTCTGTACTTTGAGCTATAAGGCTCAAAAATTTTTATTCTTATTTTTTTTTATTATTTGTTCTAATTAATTATACATGACAGCAGAATGCATTTCAACTCATTGTACACAAATGGAGCACAACTGTTTGTTTCTCTGGTTGTGCATAATGCAGAGTCACACCTTCATGCAATCATACATGTACATAGGGTAATAATGTCTGCCTTATTATTAAACCAATTTGGTACACATGTCCCTGTGGGGGGAAAAATGATAATAGCATGACAAATAAAAGATTATATAAAAGATACATAAAATAAAATTCTATAAGGGAAGTAGAATGGGATCGAATACCTGTTCAAGGAGATAAAAGAAAAATATTAATAATCTAACTGCTAAAGAAGGAATCAGCAAACTAGCCTCCCAGACCAAATCTTGCCCATTGCCTGCGTTTTTAAAATAGTTTGATTGGAGCACAGTCTTGTCATTTTGTTTCCGCATCGTCTGCAACTGCCTTCAGCTCACAGCAACCAAGCCCAGTGTTTCCAACAGAGACCACATGCCCACACCTACCCCCAAATATTTACTATCTGGCTGTTTACAGGAGACGTTTGCCAGCCCCCAGCTCAGATCAGTCACGGCTCATCACCTAAACTTCAGCACAGTTCCATCCCAGGCTAATTGGGACCCTAGCCAGGATGTCAGCTGGAATGAAGGGGGCGTGGATGGGATGACAGCCATCAGTATTTGCAACAGTGCACATTTTGCAATTTCGGTACTGAGAATTTTAACAGCTGACAAAACATCACACAGGCTGGTTGCACTGTTCTATTCACTGACCGCAGATCTGCAGACGAGAACCTCCATCCAGACCACTATACTTTCTGGTTGTCGAGCTGCAAGGGGACTTAAGAAATCATGCCACCTTCAGCTCCCTTTGTTGTATCAGTATCTGGTCCAGCATATGTCATCTTTAGCTTTGCTCCTGGGTGCAGTGGAGAAAAGATGCCAGATTTTTTTTTTATCGGTTTAAATTCTGGTATTTAAATTTCAGTACCCAATCTTGAGACCATTAAAGCATTTCCCCAGCATTGCCTTTTTAGCTTTTAATTAATCAAATACATACTCACCAACCACATCAGTGTTAGATATGTCTGAGTGACGTTATGCAAATAACTCCTGATATGCCCCAGATACGATTCATGGTTTTAGAGGGAAATTTTTTCAAGAAATGAGCAATCGCACATTTTGGTCAAATGCTTGAATAAAAGAGACCTTCAAATAGGAAACAGACGTGGAACATAGAGAATGTTCCTCATTTAGCCCCAGTAGATGATACTTTTAAATGAACAGTGAAAATCCAAAGAAATTCTTCTTTAAAATTAAACCAACCGCTTGTCATTGGTTGCGTGTGGTGGGGGATCCAAAGATGTAAAAAGCACCTGTGATTCAGATGTTTGATGACTTTCTGGAGGTAAAACATGTCCATCTCTCAGATCTGCCACCCATTCTTCGGTCATCTCATATCAAGAACATACAGAGAACCTACAACAGATTACACCCATTGTGATAATGCTGCAATCCTTCTTGCTTTCACAGTCTTTGTTGAGGAGTTACCTCCAGGCCTAGGGGACTGTGTGAAAATGCCTCTTAATAAGAAAAAATAGCTCCTCTCCTCCCAACCAGTCTCAGTCTAGGGTCTAGATATCAAGTACCGCTGGATTTCCCAGCATAGGTTCCAATTTTATCGTTGGCTGGAAGTTCTCTTTCACTAAATAATACAGAAATAAGAGAATCGAGAATGACTAAAGCCTTGCCATAGATTAAACCCTGCACAATTATTAACATTCCCATAAGCATCATTGTGATTCAATAAATATTGAATAGCACAGTAATGTCCAATCCCTTCTTGCTAAGGAAATGGTGAAAGTGTACCCAGAAGTTGCAAGAGGTGGCTCTGGTTCTTTGGAGATCACCAGCAGTGCTTCAGGAACCATGTCTGGGCATTCCTTCTGCTCCCTGAATGTAATTCAACATGAATTACAGCAGCACACAGTAGGGAGCTTTCCTTGCTCCACCACATGTAACTTGTGATTTGGCTTTTTCCCAACAGGGTTCATTTTACAGTTTCAACTTCATTACCGGTTTTCGTGACTGAGAAGATGGGGAAATGCATGGCCCTGGCTTTCAGCATAAAGTTATTGACATGACACCTTGGGTTTCAAGCCAAAGGCCTGTACCCCTCCTTGACAGCCCCTCCTTGATGTCCAGAAAGAGCCCTCTTGGTGGTCTGTCCTGTGAGTTCTTCCCATACCTCAGCTTCCTTAGGCTCATATTTTTTTTCTTTCCTGGATACACATAGCCATTGTCCCAGCTTCCATAGGACAAGCTTTATCTAGACAGAATTTTATTAACAACCACTTATATAACCCTATTTCTAGGTACTGAAGACTCTTTAAAATCTTTTTAAGAATGCTATGAAATATTACTAAGGATACCGTTAGGTAGCTACTATTGTTTTCCCCATGTTGTATATAGGGAAAGTTAGGCATGAAAAAGTTAAGTAGCTAAGATTTAATAGATGGTATTTTATTAAAGAGCATTGCTTATATATATGGTGTCATGGTTTGGATCTGAAATGACCTTTACAAGGTGGGGCCCACTAGAAGGAAGTGAAATCCCTGGGAATGTGCCCTGTAAAGGGATAGTGACCCAGGTCCCTTCCCTCCCCTCTCTCTTTTTCTGAATTGCCATGAGATGAGCAGCTTTGCTCTACCACATGCTCCCTGCCATGATGTTCTGCCTCTTCACAGGCCCCAAAGCAACAGAGCTATATGACCATGTACTGAAACCACTGAAATCGAACCAAAATAAATCTCTCCTCCTTTTAAGTTGATTCTCTCAGGTGTTTTGTTACTTTGATGGAAAGAGATGGGATTGATAGAATTAAGCAGCTTCAGTACCATTCTGCATTCAGTTGGTTGTCCTGCATGGTGTGTTGGAAAGAGCACAGATTCTAGATGACGTGCTTGAGTTCAAATCCACTCCTCAGTGGGCAAAATAGAGAGAGTCATGCTCAACCCTTGGAGTGGTGACAATTAGATCAAGGGAACTTACTTTAGCATCTGACATTTAGATATTTAGATGTCACTACAATTATTATTATTCCTCTGTTGTTGATATAGTTAGTCATAGCATTGCTGGCTTCTCTAGGGACTCTAAAGAGAAACCCCCCTTAACCATTGTGGACTGATGTCAACCTCCACAGCTTTTTCCTTCCCATCTCTCCTCCCTCTACCCCAATGCCTGCTTCCTGATCTACTGGAGTCTGGTGTGCTCTGGATGCACATGAAGAGCCTCAATTAAGATTTCAGAGACACCTGCAAGTCCAGTGTTGAAGGCAGTGACTGGCCACTGTGTTCTTCACATTTTCCTGCAGCCTAATTCATCTAAACAGGCTTATTAATGGGGTGGTATTTTGGGACTAAGGCACTTGATCTTTCAAAGGGACTAAAGTTCACAGAAGGATAATTAAAAGATATCTCTTTTCCAATACAGCAGAGCCCAGGAGTGGAATGGAACAGTGATGAGCCGCTGTATGTGTTCATCTAGGCAGACTCTGCGTGCCATCAGCTAATTGGCAAGCAGACCGATGTTGAACCATATGCACAGGCTTTGGCAGCTCCCTGCACGTCCTGCCCACAGAACCCAGGAGCTCTTCTTAGACCATCCTTATCAGATTTCATACCTTCTCTGGCACATGGTACACACATGGAATAATGGAGCCTAAAATATGTATCAGAAAATATTGGCCCTCTGCACTAAAGTAATGGGAAACCCAGAATTTTCCTTTATTGACAGCACCTCCCAGAGGAGGGGATTGGTTTGGTGGTCTCTTAGCGCTCTTTTCCATCCTATATTCATTCACTGAGTCCAAGTGCTCCATAGGAGACAGTTCTGGATTTGAATCCTGGACTGACCACTTATTTGTTTAGTGTTCCTGGGCAAATTATTCAACATTTCAGAGTTTGGAATAATAATACTATCCTCAAAAGGTTATTATAGAGAAAAAGGGAGATAAGGCATGTAAATCTCTTAGTAATGCCCTAGTTGCAATAAGTGGAATCTATTATGTTCTTTTCATGTTGAGGTTCCTAAGTAGATGTTTTCTTTACATTATAAAATATTAAGCATAATATTTATTGCCTCAGAGCATAAAGTCATTTCCTAAATTTATAGTACTTCTTTTTCAACTCTGCAAAAATAATTTAGATTTTTTTGGGGGGGGTCCCAGAGATTAAATTTGGGGGCACTCAGCCACTGAGCCACATCTCCAGCCCTATTTTGTATTTTATTTAGAGACAGGGTCACACTGAGTTGCTTAGCGCCTCGCTTTTGCTGAAGCTAGCTTTGAACTCATGATCCCCCTACCTCAGCCTCCCAAGCCACTGGGATTACAGGTGTTTACCACCATGCCCAGCTATCATTTAACTTTTATAAAATTATTTTCTCTAGTTTCTTTTCCAAGACTGACCTACAGCAGGTAAAGATATTACCACTTGGAAATCAACAAGTGATGAGATTTGAGAACCTTCCAAAAGATTTCTTAGGATCACTCAGTCAGTGTTTGAGGATGTTAGATTCAAATCATCATTTAATAACCTTAAATGTGTGTACTTTTAGTGCCCCTAGGAATTAAACAATGTATAGAGAAGACTAAAGTTTCAATACAAACATCCATTTGTACTGTATCACATCATGCTTTTCTTTTTTTCTGCTGAAGTATAATGTTTCATCATCAAGTTAAGTTCATGTTATAAAGCTAATATTTTTTAACTAGGCAACATGAACGTCACCTTTAACTTCAGTGTTTTTAAATTTACTGTATTACCAAAAAAAAGTTCTACAAAAATAATTAAGAATGAAATGACAAAAACGTATGGATCCTTTGTCCACATTATGAACTAATACACCACCTATCCTGGGGAAGCCTCTGTGTCCCCTCCCTTAACTGCATCGTCTTCCCTCCCCCCTCACAGGGAGCCACCATTTTGGACAAGGTAACTCATATTCGTTTATTTTTGCATACTTTTAGTATTACTGTACACGTCTTTAAACAATGCATAGCATTTGGCTCATCTTTTATTTCTCTGTGTAAATGGTATTATGCTATTTATATCGTTATGGGGTTTGAATATGAGGTGTCTCCCAAAATCTGTTAACACAGGAATGTTCATAGGTGAACTGATTATATTATGAGATCTGGAACCTTATTAGAGGATTGGTTCATTTGCTGGATTAATAATTTGAATGACGGCTGGGGATATAGCTCAGTTGGTAGAATTCTTGCCTCACATGAACAAGGCCCTAGGTTCAATTACCAGCACAAAAAAAAAATAGTAATTTGAATGAAATAACTAGGTAGTAACTCTAAGCAGATAGAAAATGACCGGAGGAGATGGGTCTCTGAGGGTACACCCTTGAAGATTTTATCTTGTTCTTCTGACTCCTCCTTCTGGCTCCCTACTTCCTGACACAATGAACTGAAAAGTTTCCCTCAGCCACACCCTTCCACCATGATATTCTGCCTTGCCTTGGGGCCAGAGCAATGGAGTCAGCCAAGCATGAATAAACCTCTTAAACTGTGAGCCCCAAATAAACTATTCCTCCTCTAAGTTGTTCTTGTTGGGTATTTTGGTCATAGTGAAAAAAAGCTGACTAGCACAGAAATTGGTATTAGGGTCATTGCTATGACAATACCTGACCATGTGGTTCAGAAGCCTTTGGAATTGATTTATTTGGAAGAGTTTGGAAAAGTTTAGAGATGCAGGATAGAGAACTCTTAGAATATTGTAAACAGAGCTTAAGGGGCAATTTTGTGGATGCTCAGAAAACCACAATGCTGATTGGAATGTGGACAGTAAAGACTGTGCTCATGAGATTTCAGAGGAGAATGAAGACTGTATTGGGAATTGGAGTAGGTTACTCACGTTACATTCTGGCAGACAACTTGTTTACATTTTGCCCTTGTTCTGAGACTCTGTGTGAGGTCGAACTTAAAAGTGCTGGACTAATTAATCTGATGCAGGAAATTTCAAGGCAGCACAGCATTCAGGCAGTGGCATGGATATTACCAGCAACCTTTAGCCAGGTTTACTGTGAGAATCAAGAGGAAAAAAACAGAGATGAAAGGTTTGAAAACTTGCAGATTGCCTGGGAAAATGTGTATAAAATTGGAGCCAAGGAATATATGGTTGTTGAAGAGATTACTGCCACTAAAGAGAAATTTAGTCTACATAGAGACAATAAGAAAGATGCCTTGTGGGTATCTCAGGTATCAGCAAGACCATACCCATAACTGGCTCAGGGGTATAAAAGGGAAAACTCTTTTGAAAAGAGGCCATGGAGGCACCTGGCTCACACAGAGATGCCTAGGAAGTTTCTCTCCAGGATTTATTTCATTATTTTCAGTCACCCCAGCACTCAGAAGCTCCTGAAGCCTTGGTCCCAGGGGGCCCAATTGCTGATTGAGCTAGCACAAACCT